CTACGAAAGCGCAGGAAAGCCGCATATTCAAATTATTGGTGTCTCAAAAATAATGAATTTGAAACTCTGAATTTCTACTTCGATTTGAAATTTTGCCTTCAACCCCGTAATTTCTGAATTACGACTTCAAACTTGAAATTCCGACTCCAATTTCGAAATTAAGACTTCAAACTCTAAATCACGAGAATCAAATCAACATTTCGAGTTCAAAGTGACGTTGTAATTATATGGATTTAATCAATCAGTGTAACATTTTATTTTGATGTTAAACCTAAATAAATCAGCAAAAATGACCATGTTCAGTAATCAGTTTCTTATTCCAAATGGCCAGTGGTGTTTTAGTAAAAGTATTTTCCAGAATGCGAGACGTAAAAATGTGAGGGAACGCGAGTAACCATTTCAAAAAATTTCAGTTGAAATTGTAAAAATGTAGAATGTGGTGTTATTATATATAGTGATGGCAAATCGTTATATTATATGATTTATCAGCATCTGAACAATAAGATCAGATTAATATGTAAGAATTCTTTTCGAAACTGATTTCATTTTTTTTCAATATTTTTTGAGCCTCATATTTTAAATTCAAATGAGTTTCTGAGTGTATATCATTCTTATTTCAGTATCCAATATCGTTTCTGATTGGATAATTCATGAAGTGCACTAACTGTGCACTTCATGAATTCTCAGTCAGTACCTCAATATTGTATCCGTTCAAGAAGATACAGTAGCAATGATTGTAAATTCTCAAACTATGATATTTTTCCACGAGCTCCATTCAATTGGAAAAAGTGAAATTTCATATCATTTGTTCTGATACATAAAAAATATTGTTTTTCAAAAATAAAGAGGAGAAAAAAGGGTGGGACTCGCTTTATATCTCACATAAGTTAAATGGTTTATTGTAACCGTTAAACATTGATACTACTAGGCGTCTTCGGCTGTACAAAAAAATTTTCACTATGAAATTCAGAGAATAACTTGAAACAATATTCTTTATTGGAAAAGATATTGTTTGATTTTTCTCTGTATCGACCATGTTAAATTCCACTCAGTTGATATAAAGTATATTGTGCAGGATGGAAATAGATTGATGATTTTAAAATTATTCCAAAAGGTATCGATCTCAATACAAATATATATCGTTTATTCTCTGAAGTTCGTTGAGTAACAAGCTATAACAAAACCGAATATGTGAAATGAGTCCCTCGAACCAAATTATCACAATCCGCTCAGGTTGCTTCTCAAAAGCTTGGAACACTGTTCCCAACCAGAAAACTGTACACACCTCAGCAACTTTTGATGCTTTATAAAGCTCAGATCAGACCTTCTTTGGAGTATCGTTCTCATGTATGGAGCTCTGCCCCCAAAAATTTCCTGAAGTTACTGAATTCTAATCATAAAAGAGCCATTCGCCTGATTGGAGACGCGAACATGACGAGTAACTTTCATAGCCCGGAACATCGAAGAAAGGTTGAAGATTTGTTCTCTTCTATAGATATTTTCACGGGAGTTGTTCAAGTGACTTGGCATTTTTGATTCAACCAAGGGCAGTACATTTTCAAAAGACTTGAATTGATTGTTTTTCTCGAATCAGACACAACATTCATTAATCCAAAACAAGCTATTTTCCCAATATTCTCCACGCGCGTTTCATCGATCGAATTGATGTCTTCAGGAGATGTACTTTTTCCATTCCCTGAAGACGCCAACTTGGTTAGTAAAACGGGCATCAAGATGAGTATTGCATTTCTGGTGATTAGAAAAGTACTTGTTTTGAATTTATTCTACGCCAGAGGCTCCCATTCCACCTTCGATTTTACATTTCTACTCATTGTGTATGTCTTCTCATCCTTCCATTGTTTTTCTTTCTTTCACTGATCAACCTCGATAATAGTTATTCATAGATTCCAATTATAAGATGTACGCATATATTTCAGGATCGGATGTTACCTCTTCCAAATCTAGCTCCAACTTGGATTATACTTACTCGATGGTAGATGCTTTCGTTCCATTAGGAGACGGCAATAATCAATGTTCCTGTAAGAGGGGACCTCAAGTATGTATGGAAGTCACCGAATAACAAAAATCAAAACTGTTATTTCCAGGGTGAAATTGGTGCCACTGGACCCCAGGGACCTAAGGGCGAGCAAGGCGATAGAGGAGCAAAAGGGCCGAAGGGTGATAAATGGTCAATCGATTTCCTTTTATTATTATTAGCTGATCTCAGACACGATATAGTTCATTTACAGAAACGAGTGTATACTAATGAAGAAGAGTAAGTATTTTTTGAAACAAAACTACTGTGACTTTTTTCGACTGATTTCAAAGGATCGTTTTCATTACTGGAATAAACTGACATTTCCCACTTTTCAACAGAAAATTTTCAAAAATATTTCATGAAAATACATGATTTCATTCTCAGGATATCACTCAAACGATGATGAAAAGGTGTATCTCGCTAGGATGCCTTGTCAATTCTCAATTCCAGGTATTTCTGTGTAGCGGCAGTACACAGAAATACCTGATTCAACTATTTCTCATGATTGAAAATCAATTGATAGACAGTCGACCGAAAAAAATGTCTCTGTAGTCCAATCCACTTGTCAGGAAACATCACATTCAAATTCTTCCATGATTACTGATCTAACTGAAGCAACAGTTCATCTTTGATCTGATAAAGTAGGTTTTTGATCAACCTAGAAAAGTTTTCTCTGAGTAATCGAAGCAATATGTGTCCACTAAATTTTTGTTCAACAAAATATAGTCTGACAACATAGTTATCCACAATACTACACTCTACCTACATCAACGACACCTACTTCCAGAAATGAATAGTTTGAAATTGAATTTTATCTCTCACAACTAACCTACAGCGTAGGTTCCGGTAACTGCCTATTGAAAAACAACTACTTCACCGGCTAATACCACGTTGGATATCAAATTGTATATGACAGATATTTATGAAAGATACCTCACAGCGGTTAGTCTTGCAGATGTTATTGGTTCATCCAGCAAGAGGATCACGCTGAAATCAAACAAGTATATCACCTACGGATCGGATTAGAGGTAAAACCTTTCATCAGTGCCCAAACAATAATGTGTCTGGAGCTCGATTAATTTCAATACGGCTCGTCTACATGTATGAAACCTTTATCTGCACTGATGAGAGGTAATACTTCGAAATCAGTCTATAGGTGACCTACTTGATTGACATATACTCTACTTACTACTTAATTGTAGTTGTTCTCATTTTGATACATCAAGTATTCTATCTGTTTTGACTTGTCTGATGGATTTGTTCATACTCGATGAAATAAAGAAATGGAGTTTGATTTCGAAAAATTGGGGAATGAAAACTGAAGAATATTTTTCTCGAATAAAGCGCTGTATGATTCATTCAAGATGTCATTTCCTTCCGGAAAGTTTTTTTAGTGATAATATATGAGGTTGTATAGGTGAACGCCTAAGGGTTCAGAAGTCATAACAAGTAGAATAATAGATTTGATCGGAGACGACGACAAAGGCATCCAAAACTTCGATAATAGTAATGTTGAGATCTTCAGGAGACATTATCAGGTCAAGTAAATTACTCTTCCTCGCAGACTAGTCCACAATTTGTTCTACCCTAAATGAATCAATGATTGATTGTAATGATCCGCAGTTTGTATTGTCGAAGTAAGAGAATGAATCAATATCGACTTCCGAGTAGAAGAAAGTCGACAACTTCGTCGATAATTTTTGAAGAGAACCAGGTGTCAGGTACTCTTATAATATGAATAATTGACACACAAACTTCGAACACAAACTCATCGAGTAGTTTGTTCGTGTAATCGTGTGATACATTACAACTTTTGTTTGATAGTGGGGTAGTGAAGTTGGTCGCTGTGGTTTATTATTATTGTTTGTTATTTGTTTTGAATCAACAGTGAGGGAACAGAGTCTGTCTGTTGTATAGCAGTTGAAATCGTGAGTGTATTGGGAAACGTACTTTTTGGAGTTGCAGAGAAATATATTTGAAATGAATGCTACGGGGTTCCCCCCAAAAAAAATAGAAGTTGGTTAATTTCTCGAAGTTTTGGCAGATGGGTCATTTCCAGAAGCAGGTTCTATTACTTTATTCATTTCAATTTTGAATCCTCAGTTGATCCAATGAGAAGGATTCACTATTGATAATAACATGGCTGTCTCCAAAGGTTCGAGTTGTAACTTCTGATCTTCTGCGTCCTTCTTTCACAAAAAGTCAATAAACACTTTTTCATAGGAAGGTGTTCAATATCAACCTGAACAGATTTTGATGAATCATCAGAAACAATCAATATAGCAATTGGGGATTGAAAATTATATTTTATCTGTGATTTGTTTGTTGAAACTTTTTAACCTGTTATACTTTTTTCAGTCCACCAAAATTTGATTTCGAAACGGTACTTAAGAAAAAAAGATTCAAGCAGAAGAATAGATTTTTGCATCATAAAAAGGTTTTGGAGGGCTTCGCCAAACCATCTACCGTCATGAATAGAGATGATATTTCAACAGAAAATGATCAACCGATCAATGTTGAGAAAACTTATGATGTGGTGGAAGAATTTCGTGTTGATGATCAACCAACGATCATAAGGAAGACTCTTGATGATGTTCAGCAATTAGGAGATGATGATTTCGAAATCAACGAGGAAGATGTTGAAGAATATGATGATTTCTCAGGAGATATGGTTTACGATGATTATTTATGAATGTTGTCATTTATGAATTCAGTAAATAGTTACTAAAACCCACACTTTGCATCATATAATATTGAATTCTGGTCATCTACATTTGTACAAAATAATCAACACAATTATAAACAGTTGAATATGTATTTGAACGAAAATAACACACTCATGCCAAATGGTATCAACTAATATTCACACTTCAAAGTTACGTTTTCAATAATTTCTAGTTTGCACAAGTTTCAACGATAGAAGTTTGCCACTATTCTGAATACAATGAAAATTCTTCCAAAAAAGTATTTATCATAACACAAGAGTTGACTTGGATCAGTTTTTGTTAAATTTAGTGTCTTATTTCATATTATATAAATATATCAACAAGTTTTCAATAAAGAACAGAAATCAAAACTCATTATTATCTTCTGTTACATGTAAATGATAAATACAAATTTCGATAGGAATTCTCACCCAAACTTCTGGATTGGATACACTGTTCTTCGTAGTGAATTGAAATGTTATCTGTTGCTGAAAAAATGGATCTATACTTCTAACTAGAAACGCATCAGTGTTCAAACTTGTAACGACATTTTTTTGTGAAGGACGCAACTTTTATACTTAGTGTTTTTTGAGTTTATTTCATTTCATAAATTTGAGACGAGATTTTCGTAATGAAAACATAATGAGAACATAAAAGGATTGGTTATCAAAAGAGTAAGCACTTTTTTTCAATTTGTAGGCAAAATTAATGAATATGAGTAATTGACTAATTGAACTCTCCAATAGTTTATATTACGAAGTAAACTTTACTTCACTTCAGCAGATTTATTGACATATATTTCATTTTTTCAGATTGTGGAAGATAATAAACTCAAAAAACAGTATGAAAAAATTAAAAAATATCGTGTGGCAGAAATTTTAGACTGACTACACTATAAATTGGTGACAATTTTTATGCTCCAAAGAATGAAACATACACATGACTCTTTGATGAACAGAGCATTATTATAAATCTGAAGTTATGAGCAGGACACTAAATCTCACTCCAAAGGAAGGGTGCTGTATTTATCGATATTGAAGGAGCATTTGACAATGCACTACCTAAATCTATAGGATCGTCTCTGGCTAGGAGAGGTATAGAATCGACCATAATTGGCAGCATCTATGCCATGCTGGTGAACAGAACTGTAACTACGACTCTTCAAGGCGAGACCATTAGCTTCAGGGGTCATCACCCAACCAGCAAAGTTGGTTTATAATTCCATGGTGTTGCAACAGTTTTATTTTATTATTATTTTATAATTACTTCCAAAATGCTAATTGATTGTATTAGATGATCGGTGAACACAATACAGTTGTAGGCAATAAAAGTGTTTTATAAATTTGTCATAGAAACGTTTATGGAATAAAATTGAAAAACCATTATAAAATAGTCAGGAAATTATCACAGAAACGTTTTTGAAACTAACTTATAATACTTATTTTCCTATAGAAGTAAATTGTTATGTAGCAGTTTTATAACACTTTTCTGCGAGATTTTTATGATAGTTATAAAACTATTTCAAGCTTATTTTATAACTGTTTCCTGTAGCTTTATTGGAATCATTTTATTAGAATGCTTTCTGACACTATTTTATTTTCATTACTATATTGTCACTTCAATGATAATTTCCCAACTACTTTATAGTGTGGTATATTCACAACAATTCAAAAACACTAATATAACTGTTATAAAATTGAATTGCTTTTGCTAATATATATTTGCTGCCACCAAGAATAAACTGCAGCAATCAAGAACAACCAGCTGACATCGATTCCTAATCACAGCTTTGAAAAAATCTTCAAAATTTCAGTTGTGTTTAGTAAGAATATTTTTATTCAGTTATTCAAATGGGACACCATCGATATCGTGGTGGAAATTAGTTCTTCAGCAACTTCTAAATATTTGATTTTTATTGAGT